GAAGCACTCCGTGCTCGGCGGTGCCGTGGTCGTGCCTGCAGTCGTGTAGTTGCAGTTGCCTTGCCCCGCCGTTCTGCGACGTAGATGTGCTAGTTTTGCCGTCCGTCCGTTGTCGTAGCTCCACCCGCACCAGTACTTTGCCGCTCCTCCCACACCGGCCGATCCGCCGACACCACCTCCGACACCAGCATTGGCGCTCACTCCAACCATTATCACCTCCACTCGCTCCACCTCCGACGCCAGCACCAGTGTTCCCACTCACTCCCGCGCCGACACCAGCATTGGCACCCACTCCACCGTTCGCAGCCCCGCCCACACCAGCGCCGACAGCAGCATTACCGACGCCAGCACCGACGTTACCCCTCACACCACCTCCGACACCGGCACCAGCACCGACACCCGTAGTTCCTCCGACACCAACACCGCCGTATCCGTTACCGAGGCCCGCGCCGCCAACGCCAGCTCCGACCCCAGCACCAGCGCCTCCGTAGCCGGCTTCCCGACCAAACAGCCCAGCACCAGCACCACCATATCCGGCGCCTCGACCGTACAGCCCAGCACCAACGCCACCAGCACCTCGACCGTACAGACCAGCACCAGCGCCACCATAGCCGGCACCTCGACCGTACAGACCAGCACCAACGCCGGCTCCACCATGAAGACCGGCAGCGCCAGCTCCATAGAGTCCCGCACCACCGTGCAGACCAGCGCCAAGCAGTCCGAACGTCTGGGCGGCCTCCTTCTCAGCATACGCGCTGTTGGCTAGCGCCACGACGGCGAGGCACACGGCGGCGATCTTGCTACTGCTGAACATGTTGCGCTTGCGTGTTCTTGGACAGCCTTCGAATGCACGAGAGCTGTTTGATGTGAGCTCGAGTGAGGAGAATGGGAAATGAGCTCTGGACGGCGCCACTCGGCAACCTTTTCCGTCGGTCCCGCATTGACGGTCGTCTAGATCATGTGTACAAGGCAGGTAGGTGGTATAAGAGAGCACTTTCCAACAATGTCACGTTGGGGCAAATTGATTGAGTTGCATTTTGCCACACCTGGGCGGGTTAGCTGCGAAAAGAAAGCGAAAGTGAGCTGGAAGCAACTGAGCTTCTCGAGCTCCTACAGAACTTAATATAACTAACTGCGACATCGGGAAAATACGCCTTCGTCGGCAACTTGCACATCTCATGTTGCCGTTGCCTCCGCAACCAGCAATTTCCAACAATGTCACGTTGGGGCAAATTGATTGAGTTGCATTTTGCCACACCTGGGCGAGGCGTGGCGGCGGCCCCATCATGAGATTGCCGCGAGTCGAGCCGTGGGTGTGGTCGCCTTTTTGTTAGCACATGTAGCGTGAAAGTTCCGCAGACCCCTTGGCGGAAAGCACTGGATACCCCTCGAACGCGTTGGACAACCAACGACCCATACGTTTGATGACAAGCCGATCGGCGCCCGCGTTGAGCAACGCTGTGGCGCCTCCTATTCGAACAGAATGAGTGGAAAATCGTGCCGGATCAAAGCCGGCTTTTCTTGCCGCATTTTTAATGATCGCAGCGATCTCCGTTGATGTGATTCCACCCTTTCTCACTGACAAGGCTGGATCGTTTGCACTCGTGCCCAGCACTGCTGCAGCTTTATGGAGCCATCGCGGCGCGATGGGTCCATAAAGCGCGATTCGCGCTGCTCGAACCGGACAGATCAGCGGATCCTTTGACTTGCTGTGGTAACGCATTTCCTCACGGCCGAATTGGTTGTTTTTGGCTCCATTGAGAGGGATGCCAGCTACCATGGCTCGCTTAGGTGCTACTTAACGTTCGTGATTGTCGTAAAACTTAATTGCCTCGAGTCGAAGAATATAGTTGTGAAATTGCCGCCCAATGAATAGATATTCAGAACGTCTCAGCAGGAAGAAATATCCGAGTAGAAGACCACCCCATAAAAGTTGGTGTCGAGTCTGCGTGAGGTCAAGTTCTTCGAAAATGAGACGAAGCAGGCGTGCTGACAGGATTGGTAAATCGCCGAATTCCTCGAAGTAAAATCGCATGACTGGCATTCACACCAGGGTCATATCCTGCCGTATTGCGATGAAACCAGCGTACCGCACACAATTTCGAACAAATCGTTGAATATGTGTTTCCTTGCTGAGAGCGATTCATTCCGTACTGCCAGAGATAAACAGCGAACGCACCCAATTGCTCCGCGTTCTTGTCTATCGAGTCCTTACTGAGCCACGGGTTAAGTCCCATTATTTTACACCAATACGTCCATTGAGACCACGCTCTTGTGTAATGTTTCCTCGACGACTGTGCTAAAGCCCCTGCGCGGAGTAATTCTCCCAAAGACGCGAGAGATTTCGCGAGTCGTGAGGGATCTGAGCCTGTTGCCAACCACAAGACATGTTAGAAAATTTTGTCGCCAGTAGTGGTGACTGCCACACCCTGCTGCCTGCGTCGGCCATGTCGTTGTCTACACCAGCGGTGGAATAAAATCCATGCTTTACTTCGGACAGACTTAGAATGCGCAGGAGCATTTGCGCGAAACGATTGCGACTTGCTCTGCGGTTACTCCACGAAACAGCTGCTATGTTATCAATCCAGAATCGGACATGAGCGTCACTATCTTGACTCAGACGACTCCACAGATGCCCCCACACCAATGCAGCAAGCACAGCACTCATCAATTCACGGACATTGATCCCGAAATCTCCGTCCCCTGATCTGTTGAATTCTTCAATAAGTTGAAGTTCCTCATAATTAAACTCCACTTGTAAGAACTGCTGTCTTGCTGGAAAAAGTGCGCACAAACCGCGATCACTAGCATCCATTTGGATGTGGTAATCGGGTTCATGTCGCCGTATAAAACGAGCGAGGGGGATGGCATTAAGAGCCCCTGTTGATAAGACTAACTCGAACCAGCGTAGGTCATCTTAAGCCCCAGCTGAAACTAAAATGACACTTAAGCGTGGTGCTCGACGGGTTAAATCGGCAATTCGTTGGAAGAAAGGTGCAGCTGCTCGCACACATGTAACCACATGTCGGAGGCTACCCATGAGCTTCTGCAATTGAGTTCGGGTGGCCTTGAGTCGACGAGCCATTTCACGAACCCGACGAAGCGCTTTTGTTATCTTCTCCTATTGATACTGTCAGCTTCTGCAGATTCTATTCCAGTCCTAATGCCCTGCCACGTGAAAACCAAGGAGAGAACTTTTTCTCGTTGCATGCGTTTGGCCCTAGAACTGTTATCATTGCAGTTCTCAGTGCAAATTCCGCGTCACACAGCCGCGATCCGATGTCGGGCTCGATGGCGATATGATCATCTCACCAAGCTCGTGAATCGAAGTTTTGGCTTTGTTTAAGTGATTGATGTCCACTTGGTGGTGCTGAATTAGTGTATAAGTGCTTAATTCCTGCACCAGCGTACCAGTACGAAGCAGGAGAGTTTTTCCATCCAAAGGAACAATACAAATCGATCACCAAGATGTTGAGCTCTGGAAACGTCCCTGCAAACCGGCCAACCTCGTCCGCCGCAATTGGGATGTTCCTGAACGCACCATTTACATCACCTGTTAACATCCTCTGCTGTCCTGGCAATGATTGTGCTACATCCAATATCCGATTAGATAGTGCATCAGGCCCATCGTAAGTGATTGAGATTTCTTGATCAGCAATTGTGTTGTCATTCACTGAGCTGCCCACTGGAAACGACAAATCGTGAATTATACGAGCGTCAACGCTTAATTCGACGTCACCCTTCGATACAGCCCCAAACGGGCTGCAAGTCACGCCTTCCAGTGTAGAAAGTAAGTCAAGATCGAGTAGTAAATACCGATCGACGTCCCGTCCGGCTCGGAGGTTTTTCACAATCGTGTTCAGCGCCCTGCGAGCCGATCCATGATTTGGAGGGGGCTTGTCTTGCTTGCGAAATGCTTTCTTCCAATGCGGTATAACACCGTGATCCACGATGGCTCGCCAATGCGAGTTATATTCGTAGCTGACCCAGGCAGGATGATAGCTTGGTATTTCGAGATTTTTGTTTGGTCTTGAATCGGCAGGACTTTCACCACGTAGAAGGCGAACAAATTCTGGCAAATTCATTTTGGCTCGACGAATAAACTCACTGTATACCGCCTGCCTGTTCCGATCCAACAGATACGTCGTTTTCCCATTGCATTGCATTGAAACTGGTGCTGGATCCGGTGGAGAGAGACCACTGCGAATTAACTGTTGCGCTAAAACTGCTGAAGCAGTTTTTAAGTGAATTTCCGCCAAACGGCGACGTGCCAACAAAGTTTGAGAGAACTTGCGCTGTCGTAGCAGCCTCACTATATCCGGCGTACTTTGAGTACTAGGACAATGCAGACTATCTGTCGGCACATGTCCATCAAGGTTTTTATCACAAACAGCAGCGTGTCGAGCGTTTGACTTGTGTAATTCATGTGCACCGCAAAATGCAGGTGGCATCGTCGCCGTAGCGTTGTCATTCTCGTCCAATTCTTCGCATGAGGGGAAGCTTGAAACCTCCGCTGCCCATGCAGATAAAATATGGTCTCTCTTGCCGTCTATACCTCCTTGAGAAGATGCCATGGCACAAATTCGAATTGCAGCTGCGTCTAACGTGGGCTGAGGTAATTTAGAGAATGCTACTGCGCGAATAGTAACCATACTATCGCACGAGGGGGAGTCGAGAGAATCCGCTGCCCGTGGTTGTAGCTTGAACAACGCAGTTAATTTGGTTGTGTCTCCTAATTTCTTACTCGAGGGGAAGCACTTGGACTTCGCTGCTCGCATAAGAGAGTTGAGGCTGTGGTGAGCTTCTATAGAACTACAAGAGGGGGAGACTGTCGTGCTCGCTGCCCCTGTAGCCAAAACCGATACCACATCCTTTGAGCACCAACTTTGAGCACTAGAGTGAGGTGTACTGCTGGCAGTACCGGAAGAAAAAATTTCAAAGTAATCGGTGTCGTCGACCAGTGAAAGGTCAAAGCTTGCGGCCTCCGCCAGTATACACCGTCACTGCATGTCACTTGATATTCCTCCAAATTTCTTAGCGATAAATTCACGAACCGCCTGAGGTAATACTGCTGGCTTAAAATGGCAGCGATTTGTGTCGACACAGGCTCCGTTTTCGCCTCGACACCCTTCCTTGGAAAGAAAACGAAGGCAGATCTCTTTTCCGCCTTGTTTAGGAAGGGCCTTTCGGATCTCCAGAGGAATTGAGCGTGAGGGACGCTTCTCGAGCTTGCCTGGTCGTTTTGCCGCGGGAGGTAGGCCACGTTGACCGTCGGAAAACGCAGCTTGTCCCCGTGTAGAGTGTAGCTCTTGCCGCATTATAAACTGATGGACTCGCATGAAAGACTCGTGAGCAATACTGAAATGCGACTTGACCCCTGCTGCTTTATCCCAATCTTCATCAGACACATAGACACGAAACAACTTCAAACGGTCATCAATCCAAGCTGCAACTTCTGCTAGAGCTAGCACTGAAGTTGGTGCGTCACTAACACGTAACTCAGCGAGAAACGTTACTGCGAAGTGAAATAGCTCCTGGACGAGAGGCTTGAAACATTGAAGACCAACGTTGTGAAGAACTTCAACTGTACCAATCAAAGCAGAAAACTCTGTCGGGTCAATAGGTCTTGGAAGTCCATTTTTCCGTGAGAAATTGCTCATGTCATGCTTCAAAACTCCCGCACGTTTTTCTTGCTCAGTAACTCGAACGAAATGTCGGATGGAGAGCCCTCTCGTACCGAATTCCCATCCAAACAGGCCACGCAGAATAGCAGGGTGTGAAAAGAAACCAAATTTTCTCCAGTGAATATGAACAAACTCCACAAAGCGCTGTGCTGTCATAGACACGTACTTACCGTTGATGAGAGAGTGGTATATTCCTGTTTGCGTTCCAGTTGGCTTGAATTGACACTTGTCTTTCGTCTCCGCTATATGCGGTCGCGAAACCGCGGTTGGATCGACAGCTGGCACTGTTCGATGTAGCGAGATTAATTGATCGACATCTTTCTGTAGCTGTCCATCTCCATCACAACGAACCCCACGTCGCTGCATACGATCTTCAGCGCAGCTGCCGGTGTTGGCAGCGCTGTTCACACGTCTGCGTTTTTACGCCGACTCCGCTGGAGGCCTGTCCAGTCGCACCGACCCCTGGGGCTCGCTATCGTTCTCCGAGTCACTAAGACCATCACTGAACACAGGTTCGCTCTGCGGATTTAGCTCACGACGATTCCATCTGGACCGGTCCTGACTGTTGTCGTCTTCGCTGGGTAAGCTAAAAATGCTATCGCCTAATTTAATTTCGGGTGGTGCCGTGCGCTTTCCGTCTTTGTAGTAGACGTAATCAAGGATGTGCTGAATGGTCACTTGATACACTTTGAAACTTGTAACATCAAGGAGTGGCACCAGTTTTGACTCATCGATGGAAGTGCTGCCAACTTCAGCGAGCAGAGCTGTCGAGTCCCGAACAGCTGGCTGGCCAACTCCGTTAAACTTGTTGTAGATCTTCTCGTGTCTCTGCTTGAGTTCAAGTGGCATAATCAGACCCACGCCACGACCACCACAAGGCCGCAACACATAAATCTCAACAGCAACATCCTGAATCGAGTTTGGCTTATGTGCAACCTGTAGTTCGACCCCGTCAAAGTTAACATCAAGGGTTCCTCGAAGCGACTCTTCATCCCAGTCATAACCAACGACTAATCCGTAGTCCCAAATTCGGGCCTTCCCTGGGGGCACCCTTAACGTGCAGATAGCGCTTCCCACGAAGGTACCCACTCAATCTAGGGCCTCCTGTGCTGTCACCACTCTCGGAGCTATCTTTGCGTGAACAAGTTCGACAGTCTCAGTCTGACTGTCTGCCCATCGACCACTCGGAACGAGCTTGACCTTGATCTTTCCTCCACGTGTCGCCTGACCTTCCGAGACCCCGTAGGTAAAACCAATGAGGCTGAAGGCGCCCGGAAGAAGGTAAAAATAGGTACTGCTCATGAAGGGCTGATGAGCTTGTCCGGAAAGGTTTTCTTGGAGGTTGTTAGCTGCGAAAAGAAAGCAAAAGTGAGCTGAAAGCAACTCAGCTTCTCGAGCTCCTACAGAACTAAATATAACTAACTGCGACATCGGGAAAATACGCCTTCGTCGGCAACTTGCACATCTCATGTTGCCGTTGCCTCCGCAACTTGCACATCTCATGTTGCCGTTGCCTCCGCAACCAGCAAATTGCGTGCGAGGAGTCTACTTGGTATAGACACACAATCGACAGGGACAAGGTCTTTTTGGACGCCATGATGGCCAGCATTTTGCTAGTATGCGGAGGCCCATATGTACCGGTATGCTTACATTGTAGGTTCTTGCAAAGGCCAAACTCTAAGTAACATGTGCCTCCAATGACCGTCACGCAGCTGACACGGTCATGACTGCTCTTAACTGGATACGGGCCCGGTGCAGACGGCCGGGAGCTGGTCAATAATGCAGCCAGCACGCAAGAGTGCGCTAGAATCCTGAGCTAAGCTACTCGATGTTTTCTTTTGCTCATGTACTCACAAAAGCAGCAAGTTGCCTTTCTCGAGTGCAACTTCAATATCACAGTTACTAAACATAGTATAATTCGGAATCAAAAAGTGCTCTACGCACCAAACATTCAGCAAATTAGATTGATACGATGCTTACTAACTGCAAGCGACGCATAAAGAAGCAAAACCCGACAGCAATGAGAAACAACAGCACATTTATTTTCTTACTACACGACGGTATTAAAAATTATACACAGATATCGACAGATCGCCTCTTTGAGCGAGATGAGCTAAGAGTTGATCAACGTTGCCAGGAGAAGTAGTCAACAAGACACTATTCCTCGGCTCACTGCGACCGCAGCATGCGATAACCTGTCCGCTTCGTCGAAGCACCCGTGCCGGCGGTGCCGGTGGTCGTGCCTGCAGTCGTGGTAGTTGCAGTTGCCTTGGCCCCGCCGTTCTGCGACGTAGATGTGCTAGTTTTGCCGTCCGTCGTTGTCGTAGCTCCACCCGCACCAGTACTTGCCGCTCCTCCCACACCGGCCGATCCGCCGACACCACCTCCGACACCAGCATTGGCGCTCACTCCACCATTAGCACCTCCACTCGCTCCACCTCCGACGCCAGCACCAGTGTTCCCACTCACTCCCGCGCCGACACCAGCATTGGCACTCACTCCACCGTTCGCAGCCCCGCCCACACCAGCGCCGACAGCAGCATTACCGCCCACGCCCACGCCAGCACCGACGTTACCACTCACACCACCTCCGACACCGGCACCAGCACCGACACCCGTAGTTCCTCCGACACCAACACCGCCGTATCCGTTACCGAGGCCCGCGCCGCCAACGCCAGCTCCGACCCCAGCACCAGCGCCTCCGTAGCCGGCTTCCCGACCAAACAGCCCAGCACCAGCACCACCATATCCGGCGCCTCGACCGTACAGACCAGCACCAACGCCACCAGCACCTCGACCGTACAGCCCAGCACCAGCGCCACCATAGCCGGCACCTCGACCGTACAGACCAGCACCAACGCTGGCTCCACCATGAAGACCGGCAGCGCCAGCTCCATAGAGTCCCGCACCACCGTGCAGACCAGCGCCAAGCAGTCCGAACGTCTGGGCGGCCTCCTTCTCAGCATACGCGCTGTTGGTTAGCGCCACGACGGCGAGGCACACGGCGGCGATCTTGCTACTGCTGAACATGTTGCGCTTGCGTGTTCTTGGACAGCCTTCGAATGCACGAGAGCTGTTTGATGTGAGCTCGAGTGAGGAGAATGGGAAATGAGCTCTGGACGGCGCCACTCGGCAACCTTCCCGCATTGACGGTCGTCTAGATCATGTGTACAAGGCAGGTAGGTATAAGAGAGCACACTGCGTGCGAGGAGTCTACTTGGTATAGACACACAATCGACAGGGACAAGGTCTTTTTGGACGCCATGATGACCAGCATTTTGCTAGTATGCGGAGGCCCATATGTACCGGTATGCTTACATTGTAGGTTCTTGCAAAGGCCAAACTCTAAGTAACATGTGCCTCCAATGACCGTCACGCAGCTGACACGGTCATGACTGCTCTTAACTGGATACGGGCCCGGTGCAGACGGCCGGGAGCTGGTCAATAATGCAGTTAGCACGCAAGAGTGCGCTAGAATCCTGAGCTAAGCTACTCGATGTTTTCTTTTGCTCATGTACTCACAAAAGCAGCAAGTTGCCTTTCTCGAGTGCAACTTCAATATCACAGTTACTAAACATAGTATAATTCGGAATCAAAAAGTGCTCTACGCACCAAACATTCAGCAAATTAGATTGATACGATGCTTACTAACTGCAAGCGACGCATAAAGAAGCAAAACCCGACAGCAATGAGAAACAACAGCACATTTATTTTCTTACTACACGACGGTATTAAAAATTATACACAGATATCGGCAGATCGCCTCTTTGAGCGAGATGAGCTAAGAGCTGAACAACGTAGCCAGGAGAAGTTGTCAACAAGACACTATTCCTCGGCTCACTGCGACCGCAGCATGCGATAACCTGTCTGCTTCGTCGAAGCACCCGTGCCGGCGGTGCCGGTGGTCGTGCCTGCAGTCGTGGTAGTTGCAGTTGCCTTGGCCCCGCCGTTCTGCGACGTAGATGTGCTAGTTTTGCCGTCCCGTCGTTGTCGTAGCTCCACCCGCACCAGTACTTGCCCGCTCCCTCCCCACACCGGCCGATCCGCCGACACCACCTCCGACCACCAGCATTGGCGCTCACTCCACCTTTAGCACCTCCACTCGCTCCACCTCCGACGCCAGCACCAGTGTTCCCACTCACTCCCCGCGCCGACACCCAGCATTGGCAACTCACTCCACCGTTCGCAGCCCCGCCCACACCAGCGCCGACAGCAGCATTACCGCCCACGCCCACGCCAGCACCGACGTTACCACTCACACCACCTCCGACACCGGCACCAGCACCGACACCCGTAGTTCCTCCGACACCAACACCGCCGTATCCGTTACCGAGGCCCGCGCCGCCAACGCCAGCTCCGACCCCAGCACCAGCGCCTCCGTAGCCGGCTTCCCGACCAAACAGCCCAGCACCAGCACCACCATATCCGGCGCCTCGACCGTACAGACCAGCACCAACGCCACCAGCACCTCGACCGTACAGCCCAGCACCAGCACCACCATAGCCGGCACCTCGACCGTACAGACCTGCACCAACGCCGGCTCCACCATGAAGACCGGCAGCGCCAGCTCCATAGAGTCCCGCACCACCGTGCAGACCAGCGCCAAGCAGTCCGAGCGTCTGGGCGGCCTCCTTCTCAGCATACGCGCTGTTGGTTAGCGCCACGACGGCGAGGCACACGGCGGCGATCTTGCTACTGCTGAACATGTTGCGCTTGCGTGTTCTTGGACAGCCTTCGAATGCACGAGAGCTGTTTGATGTGAGCTCGAGTGAGGAGAATGGGAAATGAGCTCTGGACGGCGCCACTCGGCAACCTTCCCGCATTGACGGTCGTCTAGATCATGTGTACAAGGCAGGTAGGTGGTATAAGAGAGCACACTGCGTGCGAGGAGTCTACTTGGTATAGACACACAATCGACAGGGACAAGGTCTTTTTGGACGCCATGATGACCAGCATTTTGCTAGTATGCGGAGGCCCATATGTACCGGTATGCTTACATTGTAGGTTCTTGCAAAGGCCAAACTCTAAGTAACATGTGCCTCCAATGACCGTCACGCAGCTGACACGGTCATGACTGCTCTTAACTGGATACGGGCCCGGTGCAGACGGCCGGGAGCTGGTCAATAATGCAGCCAGCACGCAAGAGTGCGCTAGAATCCTGAGCTAAGCTACTCGATGTTTTCTTTTGCTCATGTACTCACAAAAGCAGCAAGTTGCCTTTTTCCTCTGGATCACCTTCATCAAGTAGCTGGACCGATAAACGAGGTTGGTGTTTGGGGGGAAAATGTTGGAGAGTGTATTTAGAAGATGTGTCTCTCTTGGTTGCCCTGCACCGTGATGGAGCGGTGTTTGCCCTGGGTGAGGAGCGGTGGGTTTTTGCTGTTGTTTGTTGTGCTGTGCGGCAAAAAGAGGAATGAGTAAACAATGTTAGGCCTGTCCAGTAACGGTAAAGTCATACTCCCCAGGCTCTGGGATAGGAACAGCCAGCCGGGTGACGGAGCTGTCGTGACCCCTGGCTTCGGATAAGATCAGCTCGCCAGAGGACGTTGTAGTTGCACCTGTTCCAACTCGTTAAAGCTGTTTTAGGCGGGATATTGATGAATGTTCCATCAGAAAAATCTCTCTTCCACTTGCGCGCAAAAGCAGCCATTCTCGAGTGCAACTTCAATATCACAGTTACTAAACATAGTATAATTCGGAATCAAAAAGTGCTCTACGCACCAAACATTCAGCAAATTAGATTGATACGATGCTTACTAACTGCAAGCGACGCATAAAGAAGCAAAACCCGACAGCAATGAGAAACAACAGCACATTTATTTTCTTACTACACGACGGTATTAAAAATTATACACAGATATCGGCAGATCGCCTCTTTGAGCGAGATGAGCTAAGAGCTGATCAACGTAGCCAGGAGAAGTAGTCAACAAGACACTATTCCTCGGCTCACTGCGATCGCAGCATGCGATAACCTGTCTGCTTCGTCGAAGCACCCGTGCCGGCGGTGCCGGTGGTCGTGCCTGCAGTCGTGGTAGTTGCAGTTGCCTTGGCCACGCCGTTCTGCGACGTAGATGTGCTAGTTCTGCCGTCCGTCGTTGTCGTAGCTCCACCCGCACCAGTACTTGCGGCTCCTCCCATACGGACCGATTCGCCGATACTGGCAGTGCCGCCGACACTCACTCCGACATCAGCCTTGGTGCTCACTCTCCCGATAGGACTGCTACTCGTTCAACCTCCGACGCCAGCACCAGTGTTCCCACTCACTCCCGCGCCGACACCAGCATTAGCACTCACTCCACCGTTCGCAGCCCCGCCCACACCAGCGCCGACAGCAGCATTACCGCCCACGCCCACGCCAGCACCGACGTTACCACTCACACTACCTCCGACACCGGGCACCAGCACCGACACCCGTAGTTCCTCCGACACCAACACCGCCGTATCCGTTACCGAGGCCCGCGCCGCCAACGCCAGCTCCGACCCCAGCACCAGCGCCTCCGTAGCCGGCTTCCCGACCAAACAGCCCAGCACCAGCACCACCATATCCGGCGCCTCGACCGTACAGCCCAGCACCAACGCCACCAGCACCTCGACCGTACAGACCAGCACCAGCGCCACCATAGCCGGCACCTCGATCGTACAGCCCAGCACCAGCACCACCCAAACCGGCACCTCGACCGTACAGACCAGCACCAGCGCCACCATAGCCGGCACCTCGATCGTACAGCCCAGCACCAGCACCACCATAGCCGGCACCTCGACCGTACAGACCAGCACCAACGCCGGCTCCACCATGAAGACCGGCAGCGCCAGCTCCATAGAGTCCCGCACCACCGTGCAGACCAGCGCCGGCTCCACCATGAAGACCGGCAGCGCCAGCTCCATAGAGTCCCGCACCACCGTGCAGACCAGCGCCAAGCAGTCCGAACGTCTGGGCGGCCTCCTTCTCAGCATACGCGCTGTTGGTTAGCGCCACGACGGCGAGGCACACGGCGGCGATCTTGCTACTGCTGAACATGTTGCGCTTGCGTGTTCTTGGACAGCCTTCGAATGCACGAGAGCTGTTTGATGTGAGCTCGAGTGAGGAGAATGGGAAATGAGCTCTGGACGGCGCCACTCGGCAACCTTTTCCGTCGGTTCCGCATTGACGGTCGTCTAGATCATGTGTACAAGGCAGGTAGGTATAAGAGAGCACACTGCGTGCGAGGAGTCTACATGGTATAGACACACAATCGACAGGGACAAGGTCTTTTAAGGCGCCATGATGACCAGCATTTTGCTAGTTAGTATGCGGAGGCCCATATGTACCGGTATGCTTACATTGTAGGTTCTTGCAAAGGCCAAACTCTAAGTAACATGTGCCTCCAATGACCGTCACGCAGCTGACACGGTCATGACTGCTCTTAACTGGATACGGGCCCGGTGCAGACGGCCGGGAGCTGGTCAATAATGCAGTTAGCACGCAAGAGTGCGCTAGAATCCTGAGCTAAGCTACTCGATGTTTTCTTTTGCTCATGTACTCACAAAAGCAGCAAGTTGCCTTTTTCCTCTGGATCACCTTCATCAAGTAGCTGGACCGATAAACGAGGTTGGTGTTTGGGGGGAAAATGTTGGAGAGTGTATTTAGAAGATGTGTCTCTCTTGGTTGCCCTGCACCGTGATGGAGCGGTGTTTGCCCTGGGTGAGGAGCGGTGGGTTTTTGCTGTTGTTTGTTGTGCTGTGCGGCAAAAAGAGGAATGAGTAAACAATGTTAGGCCTGTCCAGTAACGGTAAAGTCATACTCCCCAGGCTCTGGGATAGGAACAGCCAGCCGGGTGACGGAGCTGTCGTGACCCCTGGCTTCGGATAAGATCAGCTCGCCAGAGGACGTTGTAGTTGCACCTGTTCCAACTCGTTAAAGCTGTTTTAGGCGGGATATTGATGAATGTTCCATCAGAAAAATCTCTCTTCCACTTGCGCGCAAAAGCAGCCATTCTCGAGTGCAACTTCAATATCACAGTTACTAAACATAGTATAATTCGGAATCAAAAAGTGCTCTACGCACCAAACATTCAGCAAATTAGATTGATACGATGCTTACTAACTGCAAGCGACGCATAAAGAAGCAAAACCCGACAGCAATGAGAAACAACAGCACATTTATTTTCTTACTACACGACGGTATTAAAAATTATACACAGATATCGGCAGATCGCCTCTTTGAGCGAGATGAGCTAAGAGCTGATCAACGTAGCCAGGAGAAGTAGTCAACAAGACACTATTCCTCGGCTCACTGCGATCGCAGCATGCGATAACCTGTCTGCTTCGTCGAAGCACCCGTGCCGGCGGTGCCGGTGGTCGTGCCTGCAGTCGTGGTAGTTGCAGTTGCCTTGGCCCCGCCGTTCTGCGACGTAGATGTGCTAGTTCTGCCGTCCGTCGTTGTCGTAGCTCCACCCGCACCAGTACTTGCCGCTCCTCCCACACCGACCGATCCGCCGACACCGGCCGATCCGCCGACATCACCTCTGACACCAGCATTGGGGCTCACTCCAGCGTTAGCACTTCCACTCGCTCCACCTCCGACGCTAGCGCCAGTGTTCCCACTCACTCCCGCGCCGACTCCAGCATTGGCACTCACTCCACCGTTCGCAGCCACGCCCACATCAGCGCCGACAGCAGCATTACCGCCCACGCTCACACTAGCACCGAACGTTACCACTCACACCACCTCCGACACCGGCACCAGCACCGACACCCGTAGTTCCTCCGACACCAACACCGCCGTATCCGTTACCGAGGCCCGCGCCGCCAACGCCAGCTCCGACCCCAGCACCAGCGCCTCGGTAGCCGGCTTCCGACCAAACAGCCCAGCACCAGCACCACCATATCCGGCGCGTCGACCGTACAGACCAGCACCAACGCCACCAGCACCTCGACCGTACAGCCCAGCACCAGCACCACCATAGCCGGCACCTCGACCGTACAGACCTGCACCAACGCCGGCTCCACCATGAAGACCGGCAGCGCCAGCTCCATAGAGTCCCGCACCACCGTGCAGACCAGCGCCAAGCAGTCCGAACGTCTGGGCGGCCTCCTTCTCAGCATACGCGCTGTTGGTTAGCGCCACGACGGCGAGGCACACGGCGGCGATCTTGCTACTGCTGAACATGTTGCGCTTGCGTGTTCTTGGACAGCCTTCGAATGCACGAGAGCTGTTTGATGTGAGCTCGAGTGAGGAGAATGGGAAATGAGCTCTGGACGGCGCCACTCGGCAACCTTTTGCGTCGGTCCCGCATTGACGGTCGTCTAGATCATGTGTACAAGGCAGGTAGGTGGTATAAGAGAGTACACTGCGTGCGAGGAGTCTACTTGGTATAGACACACAATCGACAGGGACAAGGTCTTTTTGGACGCCATGATGACCAGCATTTTGCTAGTATGCGGAGGCCCATATGTACCGGTATGCTTACATTGTAGGTTCTTGCAAAGGCCAAACTCTAAGTAACATGTGCCTCCAATGACCGTCACGCAGCTGACACGGTCATGACTGCTCTTAACTGGATACGGGCCCGGTGCAGACGGCCGGGAGCTGGTCAATAATGCAGCCAGCACGCAAGAGTGCGCTAGAATCCTGAGCTAAGCTACTCGATGTTTTCTTTTGCTCATGTACTCACAAAAGCAGCAAGTTGCCTTTCTCGAGTGCAACTTCAATATCACAGTTACTAAACATAGTATAATTCGGAATCAAAAAGTGCTCTACGCACCAAACATTCAGCAAATTAGATTGATACGATGCTTACTAACTGCAAGCGACGCATAAAGAAGCAAAACCCGACAGCAATGAGAAACAACAGCACATTTATTTTCTTACTACACGACGGTATTAAAAATTATACACAGATATCGGCAGATCGCCTCTTTGAGCGAGATGAGCTAAGAGCTGATCAACGTAGCCAGGAGAAGTAGTCAACAAGACACTATTCCTCGGCTCACTGCGACCGCAGCATGCGATAACCTGTCTGCTTCGTCGAAGCACCCGTGCCGGCGGTGCCGGTGGTCGTGCCTGCAGTCGTAGTAGTTGCAGTTGCCTTGGCCCCGCCGTTCTGCGACGTAGATGTGCTAGTTCTGCCGTCCGTCGTTGTCGTAGCTCCACCCGCACCAGTACTTGCCGCTCCTCCCACACCGACCGATCCGCCGACACCGGCCGATCCGCCGACACCACCTCCGACACCAGCATTGGCGCTCACTCCACCGTTAGCACCTCCACTCGCTCCACCTCCGACGCCAGCACCAGTGTTCCCACTCACTCCCGCGCCGACACCAGCATTGGCACTCACTCCACCGTTCGCAGCCCCGCCCACACCAGCGCCGACAGCAGCATTACCGCCCACGCCCACGCCAGCACCGACGTTACCACTCAACGACCACCTCCGACACCGGCACCAGCACCGACACCCGGTAGTTCCTCCGACACCAACACCGCCGTATCCGTTACCGAGGGCCGCGCCGCCAACGCCAGCTCCGACCCCAGCACCAGCGCCTCCGTAGCCGGCTTCCCGACCAAACAGCCCAGCACCAGCACCACCATATCCGGCGCCTCGACCGTACAGCCCAGCACCAACGCCACCAGCACCTCGACCGTACAGACCAGCACCAGCGCCACCATATCCGGCGCCTCGACCGTACAGCCCAGCACCAACGCCACCAGCACCTCGACCGTACAGACCAGCACCAGCGCCACCATAGCCGGCACCTCGATCGTACAGCCCAGCACCAGCACCACCATAGCCGGCACCTCGACCGTACAGACCAGCACCAACGCCGGCTCCACCATGAAGACCGGCAGCGCCAGCTCCATAGAGTCCCGCACCACCGTGCAGACCAGCGCCGGCTCCACCATGAAGACCGGCAGCGCCAGCTCCATAGAGTCCCGCACCACCGTGCAGACCAGCGCCAAGCAGTCCGAACGTCTGGGCGGCCTCCTTCTCAGCATACGCGCTGTTGGTTAGCGCCACGACGGCGAGACACACGGCGGCGATCTTGCTACTGCTGAACATGTTGCGCTTGGCGTGTTCTGGGACAGCCTTCGAATGCACGAGAGCTGTTTGATGTGAGCTCGAGTGAGGAGAAATGGGAAATGAGCTCCTCGACGGCGCCCCCTCGGCAACCTTTTCCGTCGGTCCCGCATTGACGGTCGTCTAGATCATGTGTACAAGGCAGGGTAGGTGGTATAAGAGAGCACACTGCGTGCGAGGAGTCTACTTGCTATAGACACACAATCGACAGGGTCAAGGTCTTTTTGGACGCCATGATGACCAGCATTTTGCTAGTATGCGGAGGCCCATATGTACCGGTATGCTTACATTGTGGATTCTTGCAAAGGCCAAACTCTAAGTAACATGTGACTCCAATGACCGTCACGCAGCTGACACGGTCATGACTGCTCTTAAATGGATACGGGCCCGGTGCAGACGGCCGAAGGCTGGTCAATAATGCAGCCAGCACGCAAGAGTGCGCTAGAGTCCTGAGCTAAGCTACTCGATGTTTTCTTTTGCTCATGTACTCACAAAAGCAGCAAGTTGCCTTTCTCGAGTGCAACTTCAATATCACAGTTACTAAACATAGTATAATTCGGAATCAAAAAGTGCTCTACGCACCAAACATTCAGCAAATTAGATTGATACGATGCTTACTAACTGCAAGCGACGCATAAAGAAGCAAAACCCGACAGCAATGAGAAACAACAGCACATTTATTTTCTTACTACACGACGGTATTAAAAATTATACACAGATATCGGCAGATCGCCTCTTTGAGCGAGATGAGCTAAGAGCTGATCAACGTAGCCAGGAGAAGTAGTCAACAAGACACTATTCCTCGGCTCACTGCGATCGCAGCATGCGATAACCTGTCTGCTTCGTCGAAGCACCCGTGCCGGCGGTGCCGGTGGTCGTGCCTGCAGTCGTGGTAGTTGCAGTTGCCTTGGCCCCGCCGTTCTGCGACGTAGATGTGCTAGTTCTGCCGTCCGTCGTTGTCGTAGCTCCACCCGCACCAGTACTTGCCAACTCGGTCCCACACCGACCGATCCGCCGACAAACCGCGCCGAGAGGGCCGCAACACCACCTCTCGAAAACCCGCATTGGCGCTCCACTTCCACCGTTTAACAACCTCCAACTCGCCTCCCAACCTCCGCAAGCCCCGACAACACTTGTTTTCCCCACTCACTTCTCGCGCCCGCAAACCACACATGTGCCACTCCACTCCCACGCTTGCAACCCCGCCCCACACCCGCGCCGACGCAGCATACCGCCCACGCCCACGCCAGCACGACGTTACACTCACACCACTCCGACACGGCACAGCACCGACACCCGTAGTTCCTCCGACACCAACACCGCCGTATCCGTTACCGAGGCCCGCGCCGCCAACGCCAGCTCCGATCCCCAGCACCAGCGCCTCCGTAGCCGGCTTCCCGACCAAACAGCCCAGCACCAGCACCACCATATCCGGCGCCTCGACCGTACAGCCCAGCACCAACGCCACCAGCACCTCGACCGTACAGCACAGCACCAGCGCCACCATATCCGGCGTACAGCCCAGCACCAGCGCCACCATAGCCGGCACCTCGACCGTACAGACCAGCACCAACGCTGGCTCCACCATGAAGACCGGCAGCGCCAGCTCCATAGAGTCCCGCACCACCGTGCAGAACAGCGCCAAGCAGTCCGAACGTCTGGGCGGCCTCCTTCTCAGCATACGCGCTGTTGGTTAGCGCCACGACGGCGAGGCACACGGCGGCGATCTTGCTACTGCTGAACATGTTGCGCTTGCGTGTTCTTGGACAGCCTTCGAATGCACGAGAGCTGTTTGATGTGAGCTCGAGTGAGGAGAATGGGAAATGAGCTCTGGACGGCGCCACTCGGCAACCTTTTCCGTCGGTCCCGCATTGACGGTCGTCTAGATCATGTGTACAAGGCAGGTAGGTGGTATAAGAGAGCACACTGCGTGCGAGGAGTCTACTTGGTATAGACACACAATCGACAGGGACAAGGTCTTTTTGGACGCCATGATGACCAGCATTTTGCTAGTATGCGGAGGC